ATAACTATCGTTTGTGTTGTCAGTCCTAACCTCTATGCTGCTAATGAGGCAGGATTAAAGGCAGTTATGATAATGAGTCAGGTTGGCCTCTCCAGAATTAGGCTATATTTTATGTCAATCTCTTTTGAGATATAAAAGAGATTAAACAAGTGAGCAGGGGGGTGGTGGAGGAACCACTGTGTCACCAAGGGGGAAGAACTGGGGGCTGATCACATCCTCTGGACCTGGGGTCCCTGTGCTGGGAGTCTCCTGGACCCCAGGGGGAGACTGATGGCAAGACACATGGGATCTCCAAGGAGCACCAGGCCCACGGGTGCTGAAGGGGGAGAGGGAGCTTCTATCAGAACCAAGAAAGATAGATAGATAGCGAGCACCATCCCCTAGAGCTGGCACCCAGGATTTGGACTTCTGGCTCCTGAACTGTGAGATAATCAATTTCTCGATTGGGAAAGCCAGCCGCTTGTGGTACATATGCTATAGCAACACTAGAGACATAAGACCCTATCGACCCACCTGTCTGTCCACCCACCCAGCCACCTATCCACACACATCCACCCATCAGTCCATCTCACCACCTATCCGTCCATCTCTTCTTTCATTCACTCACTTACTCAATCCATTCATGCGCTCATTGCTTCACTCATTTATAAACCTATTTACAATTCATGTATCTCCTTACTTACCCCTCTGCCATCTTTGCACCCCCCCCACCTGTGTCTAGCTCAATGACCAGTGTAGAGGGCCCCCTTCTTGGACTTGGGGTTCTTGCTCTTAGGGGCTTGGGGCAGAGGGCGTGTTTCAGGGTGTCTGAGTCCTCACTTGTTGGGGCTCCTTTGGAGGCTTGTTCACCACTCATTTGGGGGATCAGCCTTCCCCAGTCCAGATGGCTCCCTCTGGGTCTTGAGTTGGACCCTTGATCTCCTAGAAAGATCGGTGGTATCCGGGGGTCAGCGGCTTCTTTCTCACATGCTCCCTGCCCCTGTTGCTGCAGGTACACACACTCCCAGCTGGCCAGGAGAAAGGGCCACTCTGTAGGGAGGGTCTTCCAGGACCCCAGGGCCCTTTCCCTCCTCAAGGCTCTCCCAGGTCCTTCCCAGCTTCCAGCTCAAGTCCTTCCGGCTCCAGTTGGAAAAGCCCAGAGAAGAAAAGCCCCCGGAGCACTTGCACATCAGAAGGGCTCTGCGTCCTAAGAAAAGTGACCGCGCAGACTCTGCTAGAACCCCTCAGGAGATGAGAAAATTCACTTCCTCACAACATCCTCACGCTTCCTTCTCTTGAGCCCAAGCCTGCTTCTTGCAAACTTCTACCTCTGGCCCTGTTCTTGACGCCACCCGGACCCTTGACTCCTTCTTCTATCTCTTTACATGGAAATAGCTGGGTATGCAGAAGGAGCCTCGGGCTTCTCCTCTCTAAAGTCAAGACGAGCATGCCCAAGTGGGGTCTCGAGAAGGTGAAATTTCATCACTCTGCACTTCAGCACTTTGCACGAAGCCTGAAGCAATACAGTCAGCGCTTAGTCAATGCGAACTTCCTTCTCTTCCTTTCTGCACCAACATGGCCGTGCCCCTAGCCCCAGAGCAGTGGTTTCTTTAGGACAAACACCCTCTCCTCCTTCAACACTCTTCTCCTTCTCCCTGGCCCAACTCCTTCTCTTTCTTTCTCTTTCCTTTTTTTGGGTCAATGCTGCCTATTGATGTGGGGTGACTCCTGGAACAGAATGAAACCCAAACGCCAACTCACGGGCATGGAGTTGATGCTGACTCACAGCGCCCCCCGTAGGACAGGGTAGAGCTGGCCCTGTGAGTTTCTACGACTGTAGCTCTTGATGGGAGTAGAAAGCCCCGTCTTCCTCCTGAGGAGGAACTGATGGTTTCCAACTGCGGACCTGGTGGTGAGCAGCTCCACCTATAACCACGCCACCAGCAGCAGCGCTGGGAGTGAGTGGTAATCCTCCGTTCAACAGCCTTTCCTGAGGTTCTGCTACGTGCCGAGGAGCAAGTGGACAAGGGGAAATCTTCCACAACGAGGGGTTTGTTAGAAAGAGGAAGTTGGCGCAAAGACGGGGAAGAGTCACGTGCCCTTTCCTGTCCTGGTGGCCGGCAACCTTCCAGGCTCCAATTTCCCAAGATCCACTCTGCTCTTCCAGCTAGGATGCCGCTTGTCAGCTGGGCCTCCACGTGCCTCTTCGGCTGTGTCATGACACTTGGGGGTCCTCCACAATGGGCGCAAACATCTCAACAACTGTAGGGATGCCACAGGACGGGGCAGGCTCTGATTGCGGGGTACGTGGGGCCGCATGAGTCGGGACCAACTCGAGGGCACCTAACCACAGCAAAACGATTTCATGTTAGCCCTCCCCACCGCCCCATTTCCCGCATTGGCGTGTAGGCTTTTTTTTTTCTTTAATTGCATAAGGATTGATTTATGTATTTCTACCGTGGGTTGGCTGAGAGTTTGCAGAGCAGATGAATTTTCCATTCAACAATGTCTACCATGTTTTGTTTCACGGCATTAGGTGCGATTTCCTCAATGTCTGCCGAACGCTTTTCCCCACCCGTGTTTGACATTAATAAAGCTTAAAAAAACACCTTAATTTCAGTTTTGTTTTTGTGTGTGAGGGTAAACACAGTAGAACATACATCCACTACATGTTTCTACATGTACAAGGTAGGGACCTTGGTGACAGCCTCTGAGATGTCCAGCCATTTCCACCCTCTTTTACTGAGTTATTCCTTCATGGTCACAAAAGATCACTGCAAAGTTTATTTTGCTTTTTAAAATGAAGAGTTTATTTTTAACAGTTTCACCGACATACAATTCACATGTCACACATTCCAATAGTTCAATTGCATTCATAAGAGTTGGGCAACCATCTCCATGATCAATTCCAGGGCATTTCTTCTTCCTTGTGCCCATGGTTGTTAGCTCCCCATTTCCTGGCAGTGTCCCCCACCAGGTCCCTTTGAATCTATTGCTCCAGTTGTTGTCTCTGGAGGCTTGCCTAAGCTGCGTTTCATATATGGAAAATCATACAAACTCAAGACAGAATACTAACTAACGACCCCACAAGGACATGATGAAACAAAGAAAAACTTTAACTGATAACACAGCAGAAAATATAAAAAACTGGAGCAATGATACATTGGGTCAAGAGGGAAATCAATGACAAGGTGTCCCATTGTGATCTCGCTTCAATGGTGGCAATCCACCCTGTAATGTACTCTCTCTGGTAACAGGCCTTTTCCATCTCTGGTCCACAGTCAGAGGGGATTCACCAGTGGCCTAATCCACACGAGGGACTCTGCAAATGGGTCTTGGACCTTCGTTGTCATCTGAAGCCTTCTGTGAACCAGATGTTCAGCTTTAAGCTCTAATACCATTCCCTCTTCAAGGTCTGGATTTTATTGTTTGCAATTTTTGGATCACACATGCTGGTGTGCATCTTCCTTGTGGACTTAGCTGATGCCTCATTTACATGGCTGCTTGTTTTAAGACAACCTTTAAGAACCCGGACACTATTCTTTCTGATTGTGGGGCACCATCTTTCTTCAACACATTTTTTACTACAGTACCTGTATCTTCAGTGATCACTTTGTGGGAGCAGGTATTGAGGAGGGCCATGTCACAAGAGCTAATCATTCTTAGATTGGGGTACAATTAAGTGCGAGCTCAAAATCTATTCATATATCTGTGGTTTGTCTATCTCCCTGGTTCACTTTAAAGACACCATTATTATTTTATTGGATGTGGTAGTTATATAATTGTTAATTTGAGAGGATTATGAGTGAAGGGATGGAGTCTAGTCTGTCAATTGGATCATAGCCAATGAGGCTTCTGTGTGGGCATGGCCTTCTCTTGAGAATTCTGGGGAATCTGGGACTTCCTCCTTAGAGGTGGGAGACTCTCTGCTCACACCCTGGGAGACATAGCAGCTGACAAGACACATGGACCCACCCTGATGCAAAGACCCCTGCCAGCGGTGAGATGTTTCCATTGCCACTGGATCCAAAGACTTTCTATGCACTGGCCTGTGATCTTCTACATTCGGCATCATTGCATGTGTTTTGTGAGTCTGAAGAGGACTTTATAGCTTGCTGTCCGACATATGGGCTAATATCAGACTTATGGACTTGATCTGGACTGGGATGTTTTCTCAATGTTCAATTGATCTTGTATATAAATAGCTTTCTTATACACATATG